AGTTAAAGTGACTCACTTTGCCCTCTTGACCAAGGTTTGATGTTCCATATTACCCCTACCGTTAACTCCATCCAAAAGTCCGTTAAGTTTGATGACGTGGCAGAGATATTTTAGTAATTTTGTGCACCTAGGTTTTTTAATTACTTTAAAAAATTAAAATACAAACATAAAATTGAAAATAAAATAGATTTTAGGAAAACCAAAAACAAAAAACAAAAAAAAAAACCATTTCCTAAAAGAACCATTTCCCAGATCAAAATAAGTCCATATCACCTCAACTTGAAATATAAGAATGTAAACAACAATACAGGAAAGAATTAACAAATTCAAGCATACTCCATTCGTTTCTTTCAAAACTTTCAAAAGCCCAATCCGAATTTGAGATTTCTTCCCCCCTCCCTTCCCCGCAACCCACCCGTCCCCCTCCTATGGTTTTTTCTACCCCACTCCCACAGAACCCCAGCCCCCATACCCATTTCCCTTCTCCTCGACCCATGCCCCTCTAGTCCATTTTCCCCATCGCAACCCACCCTGCACATAGAGAGAGAGAGAGAGAGAGAGAGAGAGAGAGAGAGAGTAAATAAGAATGATCCAAGGGTAAAAAATCTCACTCTATAATTCTGGCAGATACAGAGTGAAATCCATGTTGGAGGTGGGCTCCAGTCAAATTTGTGAATAAAAAATCTAGATGTAAAAAATTACTAAAACATCTATGCCACGTCATTAAATTTAACAGATTTTTGGATGGAATTGACGGTAGAAGGCATTGTGGAACACCAAACCTTGGTCAATGGGGCAAAGTGGGTCACTTTAACTTTAAAGGGGTAAAATGAGAATTGACCGAAATTTCAAGGTGCACTGTAGCACTTAAGCTTAAAAGTAAAAACAAAACTGTTTTAAGACCTTTAATTTTGAATTTTGGTAACACAAACAATTCTTTTTCCTTATCATTGGAGGTAATCATTCATTTAATTAGAAGGTGAAAAAATTTGGATCACTGCTCTGAAATCATGGATCTGGAGCCTTGTGAAGAATTTGTTGGAGTTTTTTCTTTCTTCAAAAACTAGAAGAAAAAAAGAAAGAAAATGAAAATGAAAGAGAGAACAGGCAAGGAAGGAAGAAGCCATGGATATAAGGATTATACTTACAGTGTTCCAAGTACCCAAATAGATCTAAACAGCACCACCACTCCTCTCTAGGAAGATTTCAGAGAGAAATTGAAAAAAAAAACAAGACATATGGTGCCAATCTTCTCTACGTACGGTTGGCATGCTTGGTGGAAACTTCAATATATATAAAAGGGGGTTGCTATATGTACTTGCTTAGTGGGAAACTTTATGAACTGGGTATCTAACGGGGAAAAGTTTCACTCCAAGTAAAGTGTTTTGTCTTCTTTTTACCATTTCCACAATATAAAGTGGTGTGAATATAAGACCCGAGGGCTGTGGAAAATTAGTACTCTGGGACCGTGTTTGGTAATTAGGATTGAATTAGAATAGGAGATAGGATTGGAATTAGATTGGACTGGAAATGATAAGTACTATTTATTAATTGGCATTAGTGTTTCGATTTCGAGTATGGGCTCCTGGTCTTATGTATCTTACAAAAATGCATGTAATTGAATTATGGTGAGATTATCTTTTGTCCTATATCTATATTCATTTTTATAGCACTAAATATGGTTTTAAGGGTTTTGTGGTTGGGTTTTAGGTTTGTCTATTTCGTATAAGTTGTTTGACTCTTCTGTTTAGTCAATAGTATGGGTGATACTCTTTCCTACTCTAGGATTTTGTTTCTATGGGAAGGTTTTAACGAGACTATCATTAACATGCTAATTTTTACTATGTAATGTTCCTTTTTATATTATTATTTTTTTAAAAAAACACAGCTAATATGCAATACCCACCAAACCAAACGAGAGGCCTTGGAGGGTTTGACTAATAGTTGAGCCAGTAGATTGAATAAAGATAAGACGATATTATATGGCCAGTGGCTTCCTCACCGAGAGCCAAGAGACAGAGGGTGGACCAAAGCTTATTATAATTGACACTGGAAACTTGTGTGAAGCTTCCTCAGTTTGTGGACCAGGAATAATTCAAAAGTAGAAGTGATTATGTGAAACAATCAAATTGAGAAATTTTATCATGTATATTCTTTGGGCGGTGAATTTCTCACTCCTCTTTTATTTACTTATATTTTTTTTTGTTTTTTTAAATATTTTTTACTATAAGATAAAAGGGAGTGTAAGTGAACAAAAGAGGAGTGAAAACATATAATTTTAAAAAAATGGAGTGTAAGTGGATAAAAAGAGAATGGGAAAATCAGCACCCTATTCTTTTGTCTTTTCTTTTTTGGGTTGTTAGACCTACATCCAAAACGATTAGTTGTCATTAGGTATAGTTTACGCGTTGTTCGTTTTAGATGTAGGTCCTTTGACTTTCATTAATTTTTTCGTGGTGTCGATTTTAACCTTTGAGGTAAATACGGAAAACACATTGAAATCCAAATTTAATGCATTATGTCGTTGTAATTGAATTACAGAATTTAAATTTATTATTTCCTTCATAATGTTTACCTAATATATGGATAAAATCAGGCATGGACCTATGAAGTGCACAACCTGGGCTATAGCCCAGGTGAGATTTATTTGTTTATTTCTTATAGTTAGTGTTAATGTTAAGCCCAATCAGAGCATAAATAGCAATTAAACTAATTAAATAATTGTAGTGTTACCTCTAGCTGTTGTGTGTCTATCTGACTCTATCTTTGTAATAAGTTTTCTTTTTTGAATTTTCTTTTCTCTTAATTCATTTTTGTTCATCATGGTAGACCTTAGCTGGCATTGTTGGTGTAACATAGGCCTTTTAAACAAATAAAGTACAATTTAATCATGGAAAGTAAAGACCCACATATTCCCAATGAATAATGCTACCCTTACCACATTTGTATATCACATTCACATACTACTTTTATGTGACAGATGAGGTGGACATCCATATCAATTAAAATTAATTTAACATTTTCTTTTCTTTTATGATTTATTGATACTTTCTAATTGATGTGACTGCCTATTTCATTTGTCACATAAGGTGGTATGAAAATGTGGTATACAAATGTGGTAAGAGTAGCATTACTCTATACCACCTCCTTAGACAAATTTTAGGGAAGATTTGTAAAAATACAACTCTAACCATGCTCCCTATCCACCTCCTAAAATAGGGAGACTTCTAGGAGCTCCTAAATCTGAGGAGAGAGAAAAGACTCCTAGTAGCTCTCTATAATTTAATGTTGCTTTATTTAATGAGTATTTCAAACCTTTAATTAATGCTAATTATTTTTTATATTATTTTTTAATAGAGATGGACCAATTAAAAAAGAGTTATAGCATTTATGACATGATTGGAGTTTAAATTTTATAGAAAGCTCCTAAAATAACTTTGATATATTTTTAGCTAAAATTTAACTAAAAAATAAAGAACATGATTGTGGATGCTCTAAGCACCCATATGAAATTATATACCTATGCATGAGTTAATGTGTGAATCTCATTAATACAACCGACAATAAAAAAGGCCCTAATGAAAGCAAAACAAAGACATGGGAAAATGGAGAAAGAAAAAGAGCCAACATTTAGATGCATAATGCAACTTCTTAATTTGAAATTAATATAATGCTATTAATTTTGATCATGAATGGAATTAATTGAATGGTAAAACTAAAAAAGAAACAAACAATGAATTATACAAAATCATTATAGTCAGAAGCAATTAATTTGTTAATTAATACCTTAAAATCAGATTGTTTCCCGTTTTCACCTCAATCCAAAGGGTAGTATGGGAACAAAGAAAAACAAATTTAGTCAGCCTCCTCAAAAGGGAATGTAATTTTATGTGGCAAAGTAGTCAAAGGACTTAAATCAAATAGACAAAATACGAGGATTACATCCAACTATTGTTATACCTTTTGTATTTATCTCAAATTATCTTCTTCTTTTTTAGTATGGAGGCAAGGCAATACAAGAATCCGTTTGAATTCATGGATTTGATTAGGTAGATTTGGATTGAGGCCCAAATCCAAATCCTTTCCATCGTTTTGGACATATTTTAAATTTGACCCAAATTTTCATAGGCTCAAAAGTAGAACATCTAAACTAAGCATTTGAGAGGATTTCAAGCTTTTAATTTTTTTACATGTGAGAATGTGAGATGAAAAATAAAAAAGGGGAATAGAAGGGGAGATATGAGAAAGAAAACTATTTCAATAAATTTTACATCTTTAGATATTTATAAATATTTAAAAAAAAACAAAAACAGAGAGGGCGGGATGAGAAAGTACGTTGTCCGTTGTGGTTTTGAGTTAGCATACTGTATACTATACATAGGGGGCACATGAGGGAAAATTGCGTTTTCAAGAGAAAGTGCAAAGTATAATAGGCAATTCAGCTTATTTTATTTTATTTTTATATTTAGGCTTTTTAGTGGCCATATCCTTGTATTTAGACCCAATTTGCATTTTGTTACTCTAATAATTCACAAAATGGCTTATTTAGTTCCTCAACTCTATTTTTGTTAATCAGTCATACTGTCACATTTGTTAAATTTTCTAACAAAATTTAGTGGGGTGTCAACTTTAAATTTCTTGAATTAAATTTTAATGAGATGACGTATTGAGGAAAGAAGTCAAGTAAATTCCAACAGAGAAAATCCAAACAGAAAATCCTGGTTCTAATTAGAAAGCACTAATAATGAGGGCACGTAATTAACAAAGCCCAAAATTTGTTACATTGCATTTGGATAAAAACAAACAAAATTCGCCTGGAATTTATTTTGACAATATTTTTGGTGTAATTAGAAGTTTCCAAATTCTATCCTAGATTCGTAGTCGTGACTTGTAACCAACGGGCCCAATTGCGCCAACGAAATATTTCCCTTGAATCCAACGGCCAAAAGCTTCGCTTGTCGATCTCACTCGGTCCATCCTTTATAAACCCTCACAAACCCACAATAGTAGCCCAATACCACAAGCAACCACCTGTTTCTCTCTCCTCTCTCGTCGTCTCAATCTCTAGAAGAAGCATTTGCCTCGGTAAGCAATTTTTCCCTAATATTCATCGGCTCCTTTTTACTTGCAATTTTAGGGGTTGTGATCGAGTTCCCTAACATTTTGATCTCATTAAGCTCACCTCAAGTGTGTGGTTCTGATAGATTTTGTTGGATTAGTTTTCGTTCCATGTACATTACGCTCCCGATTGTTGCCGTCAGGTTAAATTTTCGAAGTAGTTGATTTAGGGTTAATATGTAATTCAGTACCAGCTCCTGGATTTGTAATGAAATGCGAAGCTCCAGGAGTATTTATAGTACCCTTTGTTGCATCTGGTTCTTTAGTTTTATATTGTAGTCTTTGGAAAAACCTTTTCTGGGTATAGTTTTGAAATAGATTTTCTTAGAATGGATGATGCTATAAAGGAAATATGGTTGCCCGTGAATGCGTAGTTCATTCATTAAGGTTCTGTTTAGTGATAGATCATAAATGGTCAGACTTTTGTTAAACAAGATACCCTTGTTCTGTTTTTGTTAATTATACAATGTACATTTTCAAGAATAAAATCTTGGAGATATGCGTGAAACAGACCCTGGCATTTTGCATTTCCTTTTGTTATGCTATTTTTCTTTTGTGGGACGGGATGAGGGTTGGGGGTTGTCGTTGGTGTTGATCCTTAATGGGTCTTACTGAATTCTTGTACTTGTTATACTTATCTTAACGTATATTGGACACAAAAGGGGTCCTATGTGTAAATTTTATTGGATACTCCATGGTTTTGTTGTTACTCAGATTGGGGTACAATTGAGAGCATCATACGGTGCACATGCAAGTTTAATTAGGACTTGACTAAAAGCTACTTATCAATAGATTTAATGGTTCTATTATCAATTTAAATCAATAATAAAATTGGGGTTGGATAAGATAATTTATGTTATTGTCATTGGTTTACTTTGTTTTTTGTTTTGTTTTTGTTTTTGTTTTTTTTTTTGGTATTCCAGAACTTATATAACACAAAACCACAGTTATAGGAATAGAAGATAGAGGAGCATTTCCTTATCTATAATATCCTTTCCAGGAAGGATAATCAACTCCAATGGCGTCAAGGATGGCTGCAAGGTTTGTTACTCGGAGGCTGTCAAGCAGTGGAAAAGTGCTTAGCGAGGAGGAAAGAGCTGCAGAGAATGTTTACATTAAGGTCATTTATAAAAACCCTAGATATATTCTCTTATGATTTTCCTTTGAACTGTATTGTTGCTGTTTTGTGTGCATTTGTATGTATTTCCTCTTAGATTTAGATAACTATGGAGGTTGATGACCATTGTTGGATGAAGGAAAGGTCTTTATCTAGGAGCTGAAACCTGTGTAAATAGTTTGTCTGGGGAAACTTAAAATAACAAACTGATTAAGAATTTATTTAAATATTTGTAGGAATGTATTAGGTCAGTAGGAATTAGTAATAAACAAATGTGTTATAGAACTATATCATATACCGTATTATTGTTCATAAAGCTGGAACACACTTTTAGTGTCAGCTGCCATGTTCAAAGAATAATAGATAAGTCCATCCAAGTACAAGCGCATGTAATGAAGAGTCTATTTTTTTAATGTTATAAATGCAATTTACACATGTATTTGAAGGTTCATAGTGTTTGAGTATCGGTCACATGATTAATGTATTAGGTGTCTGTCTTTTAGAATTTCTGAAGTGAAAGAAGTTCGTGTGATTTCTTGCTTGTATGTAAAGCATGAGTTGACTTGGAGTGATTCCAATATACCTTTGGTGCAATACCAAAGGCTGAAGTGAGTCCAGATCTCCCTGTTCATCTATGCTTTATTTGGTGCAAAGGTTTTGTCACCAAATCATCTGAAATTTAATTTCATGAATATTGTTTTTCCTTTTTCTTGAACTTGTGCATCTGCTTGTGAAGTGTAGGCTAATCTAGGCAGTAACCGATCATATGTGATAGATCTCTTCCGTTGGTTGTTTTCTTTTCTGCTTGCTTAGCGTCATAGCCTCATAGGCTAATCATTCTGGATTTGGTTTCCACAATGGTTGGTCTGTTATTCTCGAAATACTTTTATTTATTCTAAAATCTGAATTATGAAATCAATGTGGGGAGGTATCTCTGTGATCATTGAAAATGATGACGAGTCCGATCTAATTCCTTTCTTTCAATTGTGACGACAATCGAGGCATTTTTCTGAGAGAATATTACCCACTTTTCCTATGAGACTAATTCCCATTGTTTCTATTTATTTCCAAGTTTTATTTTTCTGGTTTTCAAATAATTTTTTCATTAATTTTTGGGATAGAAAGGCATCTTCTGCATCAACAGTTCAATATCTTGATTTGCTTCTGATTCTCCTTTGATTTTGTGCTTGAGTTTTGATGATCCTGATGCATACGTTGAAGGAAAAAAAATTCTTGATGAAGATAAATGTTTAGATGATTTGGTGGTAGAAATTTTTGCTCCATAGAGGCTTTGATGGGTTTCTCCATTTTACTTTTTCTCTTAGACCTGGTTTCTGTAGTGGTTTACTGTATGGCCAATGTCTTTTTACTGTTTCAAATATTTAGAATTGTAGAATCTCATTATATGCGATCCTACTGCTGTGGTGTCAGTCCAGCACACTTGAAAATTTGGTGTTTCTGCTAGTGAAGGACGTTGTATACAGATACATATAACTATGTAGAAATATGTGCACTCATACTTACATGTACATGAAGTGTGGATGAGGGTTTCTATCTTTCTGTTTACTTATCGTATATGCAATGCTATTGTGATATATCTTCTCACTGTTATTTTTTTTTGTTTTTAATGCAGAAAACCGAGCAAGAGAAGCTGCAGAAGCTTGCACGTAAAGTATGAACACAGTTTTTACATTTCATGTATTTTGAGATTTAAGTAATTTTAGATGACCACACTTTAGAATGTAAAGCATTCTTCATTGTTTAAGCAGCCAGAGTTTGGCATTCAGAAAATTAAATTACTTTTGAGGGCTTTGCATAGTGTTAAATGAAGGTTGTTAAAATTGAAAAACAAGATAATACAACTATGGGATCATTCTTTTCTCTACAAATAATGTTTTTGTGTGTTGTTCCTTCGGGAACACCCGATAAAATTGGAAGACCATATTTTACTCAGCTCTTCATTTTGCAACTTGAAGTGTCCTAGTCAAATGTTTAGCAGCTCAAGTTTTAGTGTGGTCTGGTTTGCTGGCGTATTGATTATTAGTTTACATGTCTGATCACATATTTATCATTGTGATCACCCAATCAATTGTGGTTTATATGTTCTGGTCAATTTTTTTTCTTCCAGCCTTCTGGATGTGGTTCAATATCAAACTAGTTCTTGGTTGGGATTGTCATGTCTCTGCTACAAATGCTCTGCTCAATTATTTGAACATTTTCAGGGCCCTAAACCAGAAGAGAACCCAACTGAAAGCTCAGGGGGCTCGATATCTGATGCCAAACCAAGTGGCTCTACCTCTGGAGAATCAACTGCCAAAGTATCCACTGACAAATACCGGAATTATGCTGTTGTAGCAGGTGTTGTAACTGTTGGTGCTGCTGCAGGTTGGTATCTCAAATCTAGTGGAAAGAAACAAGAAGTGCAGGACTGAGATTAGTGTGCTTTGGTATGAACAATTGAAGCATCAGTTGTCATAACACTTTCTGGTTAGCATAGAAATAAACCAAACTTCAAACCGTCTCTGTTTCTGGCGGATATGTGTTGTGTTGAGTTTTTGTTATTACCTTTTCTGTTTTGGGAAATATATACATAATGGAAGGTATTCTGCAGCTTTCAATTTTCCAATGCGGTTGTTCATTGCGTTGTAAGAGTAAGAGGGTAGCAAATGGTTTTTGTTGATTGACGATTGTGTCAACAGGTGAGACTTTTCACTTGGGCTTAAGGAGAGGCTTGAGCCCTAGTTGTGCAAAAGGAAGAAAAACGCTCCACATGGAGGAATGTGTTAGGTTGTGATTTGTTAGCATGTAGCAAGCAATGGCTCTTTATCTGTAACGGGGCCAAGCAGTGTTCTTGATGGAATGATTTGCTGCATATCTTAGGGTTTGTTTTTTCATAGTTTGCAGATGCCTTGCAGTGCAAATATTAGGAATCTAATTGGTGAACTAGACTTAGACTAGCTCCAAGAGCAAATTGACTTAGATTACGCATTCTGCAGCTTTGTTAGTAGCTGTCTTTCATATAATTCATCTATAGTTGCATGTTACAGGCATGTGACAGTGATATTGTCGGAATTTTAAGTTCACTGGGCTGAGTTCCAATTTTTGAAATGTAAAACTGATATGAGCAGTTAAGCGCCTTAAAAACTAACCACCTTAGAAATGAGATTTATCGTCAACTGTGTGAAAAAAAAAAAAAAAAAAGGGCCTTATCAAACCAAATTTTAGGAAAGAATTTTTTTATCATGCAAAAAGTTCCAATTTTTGAAATGTAAAACTGATATGAGCAGTTAAGCGCCTTAAAAACTAACCACCTTAGAAATGAGATTTATCGTCAACTGTGTGAAAAAAAAAAAAAAAAAAAGGGACTTATCAAACCAAATTATATGAAAGAATTTATTTATCATGCAACAATATCAACCTATAATTTAGTAACAATATCATTGCCAATAGATTTTTCAGTGGAATTTATAATTCATTACATAAAAAAACATATATGTGTGTTCATATATAAGGGGTTTGTAACTCAAACGATTAAGAGTATTTACTATTGTACTCTATGTTTTAGGTTCGATTTCACCTCCCCAAAATTTAGGTTCGGTTCCCCTCTCCTCGAGTATTACTTGAGGAATATTAACATTCACTTGTGTATATAAAAATAAATAAATAAATCATATTCATAGTAGCACTAGTGAATATTAACATTCTTGTATGCATGACATTCGATTTTCTTCAGCATTTATCAAAGAGTGAACCAATGTTTGTAGGTATGTTGCAATTTTAAATTATAAGGACTGCTATTTCCACCTCTGTCTTATTACCTTTTTGTAAAACGACTTCTAAGGAATTAGGGAAAAAACCTCAACTTATGTAACCCACTTATTCTACTATTTGACAAAAAAGACTTTAAAGATCCAGAAAATCAAAATGTTAGACTAAAATATTTATCCACTGCGTCAAACACAACTTGATCCTCTTCATATCTCAATTACTAATGATTAGGAAATAAATTTTTTAAATTAATAATTAAATGATATTTTAAGAATAATAGGAGGTGAAATGATAGAATTGTGTTTTTTCAAATTTACAAATAGATGGGAAAATAAAGACAGGTAGGAAATAGCAGCACTAAAAAAAAACATGTATCGGTTCGTTGATCGGTTTGGCTTGACAGAATCATAATGGTCGTATTTTAAAAAGAAGGCGAAGTCGGGTTTTAACAGACCCCACTTGCTCGCACTCTCTCTCTTCTTTCTTCTTCTCAGTTCCTCAGCAAGAGTATAGTTTGCAGAGAGCAAAATGGAGAAGGATAAAAGGGAGGTGATGGTCTCGGCTTTGCAATTCGCTTGCACCGATGACGTCGCCACTAACGTTGCAACCGCGGAAAGGTCTCTTTTTCTACTTTCTTCTTTCTCTTCATTCATCTAATTTTGTTAACATCATAGGCTAAGCGAGCATAAGCAGGGCCTGTTATTTGATCAATGAAAATTTGCTGAATTGAAAGACCCTTTTGTTAAAGATTGCATTTGGAACTTGTTATGTGCATTTCTGGAACTGAATAACCAAACCCCGAAAGTTGTCATCTTGTTTTCCTTGAGTGAGATTTTTGCACTGGATGAATTTCTGGGTTCTTCCTCTTTTTGCAATCTTCCTAATTATTTCCAGTGTTTTTCCTTGTTTTTGGGGCCAGAAAATTACTCTAATTGTATAATCGCATGGGTTTGTTTGTTTTGCCATTCCTCTCAATTTGTCCAATACCGTCCACCATTCCATAAGAGTAAAAGTAAGTGGTTGTTGCGGATTTTAGTCGCATTAAGGCGGATTTAAGGTATAGTTTGCTTGCTCTGAATAATAATCTTTTGTTCAATTCACCGTTGAACTTTGATCCAGTGAAGTCTCATTAAATTACTCGAGAGTAAACATTTGAACATGATTGTGTGTCTGTTGATGAAAATCTAATGATTAATATGAAATGTCTTGTACTTACTTGCCCTGTGCTTTTGTTCTATTAACAGTTTGATTTTGATCAAATCTAATTCGAGCATGGCATGTGTCTCATTTGATTACTTAAAAGTATGCATCTGAACGTGCAATGAACTTATTACATGGAAAACTGTTTGTGCTTATCCGAAGTTTGGAAGGAATATTTTTGTTAGTGTTTTAATTTGGAAACTCTTTTTAGTCAAGAAGATGGGTGTGTGAGTGTTGGGTTTAGTCCAGGAGAGTGAGCCGTTTTGAACTTGGGTTATGACACTTTATTTGAGATTAAATAAGCATAATGTTTTTTTATTTACCCTCTGAAAATTATATGGAGTTGGATCTAGTTGGGGCCTAATTTAAACTAAAGAATTGAGGGTTCGAAGTTGTTCCGTCAACTGGTTCTTCTCAGGCTGGGCGTTGCCCTTATTTTTAAAGAAGTCATCTTGTTAAATGGAATTCATTATCTATTTCCATTCAGGTTGGTTAGAGCTGCTCATGCAAAGGGTGCAAACATCATTCTTATACAGGTATGACACTTCAAATCTGGAAGAAGTTTCTTTCTAGGTCTATAACTCATAGTTTTGTTTTCATTTTGCCATGCTCATACTGATACATCCTCAAAGTTATTATGATTTGATATTCCAAATTCCAAATTAGAGTTATATATGCAAAGTTCAACGTGAGCCTAAAAGGTGGAGAGCAAGAAGCATTGTGATTAAAGTCTAAAATTGTTCTCTTTTTTTCCATGGCACTTATGATTGAATGCAAATTGTGATAGCTTATATGTGGTCTTTTCTTTTGATTGGTGCTGGATTGTCGCAGGAACTTTTTGAGGGACATTACTTCTGTCAGGCGCAAAGGGAGGACTTCTTTCAGCGAGCAAAGCCTTACAAAGATCATCCAACAATTCTTAGGTGAAAGCATTGGGAAATAGCCTTTCAATTTCGGTTTGATCTTCCTAGATGTCCTCATCCTGGATTCTGCATTGTGCTACTAACATACCAGGAGAACCTTTAAAAAGAAAAATGAAGGGAAAAAAAATTAGGTTCTTAATTGACTTGGGAACACTTTTTGGGCAGTAATGCTTATGTATTTTATTGCATGCTCTGTAGGATGCAAAAAATTGCAAAAGAGTTGGGTGTGGTAATACCAGTTAGCTTCTTTGAAGAGGCAAATAATGCCCATTACAACTCAATTGCCATTATTGATGCTGATGGGGCAGATCTTGGACTTTATAGGAAATCCCACATCCCAGATGGACCAGGTATTCAAGTTGCATAATGTTCCTCTTTGATCTCATATTGTAATTATGATAAAAGCCACTATTTTTCTGCTGCAGGCTACCAGGAAAAGTTCTACTTCAATCCAGGTGACACTGGATTCAAGGTGGGTGCTTAATACAATTACAATCTTTGTATAATGCTGTTTTTGGTTGATTCTACATTGGTGGTGATTGATGATGTAATTTTGTTGGTAAGCAGGTTTTCAAGACCAAGTTCGCCACAATTGGAGTTGGTGAGAAAATTTGAAGTACTTGCTTCTTGAGTTTAGATGAATTTCTTGGGGCAACAGCTGCCCAATTCAAAAGCTGGCATATCTTCAATATTGTCTGTGGTTCATTGAACTCTGCAATCTTTATCTGTTAGATAATAGAAATCATGTTGAGAATAGTGGCGTGTATGTTGACCAATGACATTTTGTGGGAAGACTGGAAACTTATTCTGCTAGTACTTCATTTCATGTCAGCAATTTGCTGGGATCAGTGGTTTCCTGAGGCAGCCCGATCTTTGGTTCTTCAAGGTGCAGAGATATTGTTTTACCCTACTGCTATTGGTTCTGAACCTCAAGATGGAGGACTTGATTCTAGGGATCACTGGAGGCGAGTAATGCAAGGGCATGCTGGGGCTAATGTGGTAAATATCTTAAGAGTAGTTTGGCTACTTTTTGGATTTAGAAAGTACTTCAGTTGGTTTAAAGTTAGCTTGTCTGTCTTTGTCATTTCAAGCTGCTTATGTCTGGAGTTGGGTTTAGTTTGTCTAGTCTCTAAACTGGTGACTGTCTTGGACCAATAATGGCCAATCAAAGATGCAATATATAAATCGGAACGAATTGAGACTTTTTTTTTCCTATTGAATTGCTACAAAGAAAAAGTAATTAATCTTTGTTTGATGAATTTCAGGTCCCTGTAGTAAC